TTGGGAGCCACCATTTTGTCAGGGTAATCGATATACCCGACATCTTGGAAGGTGAAGACGGCAGCTTCATTATCGTCTTGGCGTAAAATCGCAAAGCGGTTTGCCAAGGGAATAAAGCTTCCTTGAATTGCATGGATCAAGCAGTCGTGGTCTTCACTTGAGTTGACTTCGACAAGTTGGAGTTGTTGGGGCTGGACGTATTTGTTTCCCATGGCCATTGCTCTGGAGAATTGAATTCGATGCCAGTCTGGGACTTCGACTTGAGTGAAGCTTGGCGTGACTTGCATGGCAGACAAGTCTTCTCCAAGCAGGTTGGGTCGAAAAATCAATTCAGGGAAATCGGGAGGATTTTCCGAATTTTCAGAGCCGCTGCTCGATGAAAATTCGGATTCCATTTCCGTGTCTTCCTTGGTCTTGTTTCGAGGCAGCGCTTCGACTGCGAGAATTTCTTCCGAAACTGCGGAAATGTCTGAATCCATGACAATGTCGATGGATTCATCCAAAGGGAGGTCTTGAGTTGAATTCCCATTTGCCGAAGGCGTTGGAAGGTCTTCAAGTGGAGTTGTCGATAGAGCATTCGTAGGAATAATCGCAACTTGAGTTGGAGATGCCTTGGTCTTGGATGCAGCTTGATTTGTTGAAACCTTGGCCGCAATTGATGGTGGTGGCTTTTTGTTGAACCGCGCAATCCGGTGGTTCACAAAGCATGGGGCTTGATGGCTTCCCATGGGGTAGATTTCGCGAACAGGGTCTTCTGGGCCAAGCAAAAGGCATGCAGGAACTTCCTTGGTCGAAAAATATACCGTCAAGGCATGAGAGGCAATGGAACCTTTGCAAAAAGTTGGCTTGATGAGAACCGGGCGGGATCCCATGGAATTGAAATAATTCCAAAGATGCTCCGCCGTGGCGTCTTGCGAAAGAGTCACATCGATCCAGTACAAGTGCGAAAACACGGAGTACTTGAGGATTTGAAAGGTTCTTCCACAAATGTTGACCTTGATTCCACCGAGTTGAGTGACCCACTCGCGATCAGTGCAAGTAAAGCTGATCCCCACGTTCTTGACTTTGCGGAAATCCCGGCAGACAGTCTTCCCAGTGATCCACTTGGCAGGTTGGTCAGTTGAAGCAAGGCAGTCCAAAATTGTTGCGATGGAAAAAGTCGCAACAGCGGACTTGCACAAAATCATCATTGAAAATGATGATTCCGCTTCAACCGGTGTTGGGACAGACAAAGTCGCGTGCAAACGGGAGTCGGTTGGCGTGAAAGACTTGTTCTCGAACGCCTTCATGGCTGCCGCAAATTCGGCTTCGGAAGGACGAGATCTTTCCGAGGACGATTGGGCTTGATACCAGGATTTCGCCCATTCCTTGTCATGGATAGGCTTGTCTTGGGATGGGAGTGCCTTGGCAGAGCCAGGGGTTCGTCCTTGAGGGGCAGAGCCGCTGGGAGAGTCGATGGCACGTCCTTGGGTGGGAGAAGAATTTTTTGCATTCTTCCCCATGGGAAAAGACTTCCAAGAAATCTTTCCCGTGGGAGAAGAATTCAAAGAATTCTCTCCCGTCGTGGCAGAGGGAGCTTGGGGGGGCTTCACTCGCGTTTTCTTCGTCTTCGGCTTGGCAGAGGTCGAGGACGGAGGCAAAATTGAGGACGAAGGCGAGTCTTGGCCAACCAAATGCCCGGTATAGGCATATTGGTAGAGTCAGCTTGCATTTCTTCCTTGAAGGTTTCTTCTTGAGCTTGGTACAGTCCAAAGAGCGGCGGCGGCCAGGTAGGAGACCTGTGCACGAGGGAGCAAATTGAAAAGTAGGGTTTGATTCCGGAGAAAGATATACATTACACTTAAGTATGTGACCTTTCAAAATGCTATGCAAAAGAGGAGGATGCAGTAGTGGCCGGGAGCTTATTGTTGGTGGGCGTCGTCAGTACGGTTGCGGCCTTGGGCGCCAAGTTTGCGGTTGGCAGTCTGGCGTTCCTGACGCTGACGTTTGTTGGCGTTGGGAGCAGGGAGGGCTGTAGGGGTGCCCGTCATAGCGCCAGGAGGGTTGCTGGGGTCGCCTTTGCGAGCCAGATGGCGGATGCAACGGATCTTGAGATCGGGGGGGAACTCCGTGAGCGGAATTTCTCCGGCTGAGTCAAACAGGGTGACCATGCCGAAGAACTTGTGGACGATCCAGCAGTGCGCATCGCTCCACGTCATCGTGGTGAGCAGGTAGACGCCGTTGACCAGCGGTACCATGCAGTTGGCAAGGTCGACAAGGCTGTTGCCGGTGAGGTGGAGGGCGATGCGTTTGTTGAGAGTTGCTTCGCACACGTTGAGTCCACGAGACATGGCCAGGCGGAGGAAGTCCCGAAGAAGGGATGAGGGGACTCCTCGGTGCATGGCGGCGTTGTGGTCGATGAGAAATGCTGTTAAGTCGGCGTCGGAGAGGTCGAGCGACATGTTGAGAAGCTTGGCGGCTCGGTGGAGAGCCACCGGCAGACAGTGTCGTTGAGGGTCGGCACCAAGGGAGGCCCAGGTGGGGTCGCGGGTGCAGAAAGTGGCGAACGTAGGGAGCGGGTGGGGCACAGGCGGCACGGCGTCGGGGTTTTGTTCGCGCTCAGCCGCGAAGGCATCGATGGCGTCGTTGTTGGCGGTGTCGATGGCCTCCCGCATGGCACAGAAGCGTTGGAAGAGGCCAAGCGCTTCTGGGCAGTGGGAGGCGTGGGCGGCTGTGATCCAAGTCGTCGCTGGGCCGCCTTTCACGTGAGGGCGGCCCCAGCGCACGTGGTATCGAGTGTCCGGCTCATCCACCCCCTCGACGACAACGTGACGGACGTCGTCGATGAACAGCACCTCGAGGGCATGCGGTTCGTCGGGTGAACCCTCGAGGATCATGTCGGTGGGGTGGGAAGGCATGCCGGGGGTGACTTCCTTGAAGGTCGAGGGGTCCAACGTGTCGAGAATATCTTTCGACCGGGTGACACGAAGGGGAGGGAAAGAGCTGGAAGGGACCCGAGGGTGGCGGAGTGCGTAGGGTGTTCCGGAAGGGGGGGGTCGTTGGCGGTGAGGCGGCGTTGTCGTCGTCGTCGTCCTCGTCCGTTGAGCTGAGGCCCGTGGGAGGTGGGTTGGCACGGTGGTCGGTAGACGGATGGTCGTCATCGTCATCGTCGTCCGACGAGGTGAGACCCGTGTGGGATGGGGTAGCGCGTGCGTCCGCGCTCGGGCGGGCGTCGTCGTCGTCGTTGGCTGCCGATGTGCTGATGCCCAACGGGGCAGAGGCAGCAGGATTGCCCTTCGACGGCTGGGCGTCGTCGGAGTGCGAATCACTGCCGTTGCGCACTGCAGGGGAGCATTGGTCGGTAGAGACGGTGGGGGTAGTCGGCGTGTCGGTAGGAAGGGACATTTCAGTCGTGTGAGGCTGTGGGGTACTCGGCAAATTGCGGAATGACAGGTTGGCAAAAGGACGTTGGTGGGGAGTGTGACAGTTGCTACCAGGCCCGTTCCCTAGGAAATTTCCCTGGCAAAATCTGCAGAGTTCTCATATTCATTGATAACGAGGCATGTGCATTACCGTCGCCTGGGATCGAACCCGGGACCTTCCGCATACGAAACGGACGCTCTACCATCTGAGCTAACGAGGCTAGGTGTCGCAATTAGCTCAGTGGTTAGAGCGTCTGTCTTGTAACCCGAAGGTCCCCGGTTCGATTCCGGGCATCCGCTATACTTTCCGACGGATTCAACCCCGTCATGCGCACCTGGAAAGAAGGACTATCCGGATGAGGGGACCCGCGTTCCGGATAAAAACACCCGTACGCGACATTTCAGAAAAATCAAAAACCACCCCCCCTTGAGTGAGCCCTATCAGCCGGATAAAGCGAGAAGGCAATATTAAGTTAGTAGTATATCCGGTTAAAACCACTAATACACCTCCCTTGACAATGAGCTACATCCCC